GTTTGGATACGCAATATGTACTGTTAAGTCGGGCCTGTCCGTCTACATGAGGAATATTCAAAAATAGTCAAAACATAGTCTGGGGACGATGTTTTGACCATGTTGGCATATTTTTGGGGTATTGGTTGGTGTAGTTTATTTGTCGTCCCAAATCCGCCTGAAGGGGGGTATGCCCCACCTGAATGTACTGTGCCTAAGGCGTCCGTGTCAGTACGTTGCGTGTTGGTTCAGCGTGCTGGCCAACGTTTTGGCGAACGCATCGCGTCAGGCCTACGTTTTTCAGTCCACGTGTTGAGCTCCGTATCACTGCGCCACGTGCTGCGTGTTGCGTATCGGGGCAGCTAGGATCAGGAGCGAAATATGGACGTACATGTGCATGGATCGAGCTTGGTTTCGGAAGGACTCGTTGCGCGAACGTTCGTATTACGAGGTTGATCTCGCGGACTGGGTGGCCGTATTCATGTACGTGGTTGGGCGCGCACGTCTTTAGTGGGCTTCCTAGTGTAGAGTCCTGATCATCCCAAGATGGCCGACGGCCTCGAGTATGGTCGCCCAGAATATTTAGGCCCCCCCTCCCTCCTCCATGCCCTATCCCTCCCGCCCTCCTCGGGGCCTGCTTTCCGGGGAGGCGGAGGGGCGCATGAAGCTCGTCGACTTCGTTTTCCCGTGTTCGCTCGCGCGCTTCCTTCCCGCCGCTCCCCTTTTCGCCCGCTGCTCATGGCATCGGGCATCGGCAAGCTTGGCCGCTGTCTCGGCCAATCCTCGTCAGCCTGCACGCCTCACGCACTGTCCTTCTGCTCCGTCGTGTTCCGTGGGTTCGCTCAGACGTCTAGAGCGATGCAGCGAAGAATAGGCTCCTCCGCTCACTCCTCTGCACCTGACCATTGGTTCTTCGTAGCATCACCATCGCCATCATGGTCGTCACCGCCATCATCGCCGTCGTCAACATCAAACTCATCAATAGCATTACCATGTGAGCGACGCAAGAACAACGGGGTCGACGGGGTCGCCTGCGCCGACATTGGCGCGCAAGCTGCCCGCGTAAGACCGCGCGTGAGCGCCCTCGTCTCCAATGCAGCGTGCCGCGCGGGCGGCCCGCGAAAGCCACCGCGTAAGGTCGCTGTGCCATCTCGCGTAAGACTCGTGTTTGATCGTCTCTCATTGCATCGTCATTTGTAGCATCCCTTGCATCATCAGCAGCATCATCATCATCATCATCATCATCATCATCATCATCATCATCAACATCACCGTACTCATCATGATCCACGTCATGTTCATTATCACCATCATCATCATCACCATCATCATCATCATCAACCTCATCACCATCACCATCATCACAATCAACATCATCATCATCATCGTCATCATTATCATCACCATTGCCATCACCATCATCTCCATCATCATCATCATCGTCATCATTATCATCACCATTGCCATCACCATCATCACAATCATCATCATCATCATCATCATCATCATCATCATCATCATCATCAACTGTACCATCTCCATCACCATCACCATCACCACCACCATCATCATCATCATCATCATCATCATTAGCAGCAGCATCATCATGATCAGCATCCGCATCGTCATCATCATCGCCATCATCATTACCATCATCATTAACATCGTCGTCAGCATCACCTCCATCACCATCATCATCACCATCCTTGTCATCATAATCCACATCATCAACATCGTCATCATCATCAGTACCAGCATCATCATTATCATCATCATCATCATCATCATCATCATCACAACTATCATCATCATCACCAACATCACAATCATCATCGCCATCCGCATCGTAATCGTCGTCATCATCGTCATCATCGTCACTAGCACGGGCAACGTTAGTAGCATCATCATCGCCATGATCGCAATCATGATCATACTCGTACTCATCATCACCACCATCATCAGCAGCAGCAGTATCATCATCATCGGCGGCGTCGTCGGCGTCACATCAGCAGCATCAGCATCAGCATCAGCATCAGCATCAGCATCAGCATCAGCATCAGCATCAGCATCAGCATCACCAGCGTTCTCTGTCCTTCTCCGCTGTTCAACGTCCCCCTAACCTTCCCGCTCGAAGCCCCCCCCTCCCTCTCTCTGCTCGGGGGCTCACCGATCGGGAGTTGCCAAAGGTGTTCTTGTCCTAAGGCTTCCCGCGCCTTGCCTCGCCCATGTTGGATCCCCCTGGGGGCCCCCCCGGGCCTCCAATTCGGGCGCCCCAGAGGCCGCGGGGGCCTTCCTGAAAATCCCAGGGTTAAGTCGGGCCTGTCCCTCTACAGGGGGGATGTTCAAAAATAGTGAGACATAGTCTGGGGACGATTTGCTCATTACTATGTTTGGGTAGTTCTATGAATCTGTATTATTTGTCGGCCAAAATGCGTTTGTAGGGGGACATGCCTGACCTAATGCTTGGGGCACCGTTAGCCATGGCACACCATTGGCAACGTCCCCCACCTGGGTCACCCCCCGGGGCGCGAAGACGATCGCGCTTCGCGCATCGCGGCTTGGTCTGGCGAGGCGCACTTCTCCAGGGCGGCGGCGCGAGGGCGCAAGGAGAGCCGCCCGCGCATCGCGGGGCGCGATGCGCGAAGCTCTTATAGGCGACCAGGCTAGGAAGGATGGGGGCAACTTTGCAAGGCTGCCCCTGCATCCCTGCCCCTTCGGTATTCGGCATCCTTCGGCATCCTGCTGCGCTTCGCACGGAAAACGTCAACATGGCGTTCCAAGGCCCTTGCATCCTTACCGCGCATCCTTACTATCCTGGTCGAGTGTATAGGTGACCTGGCCCGCCGACGGGGGGCTTCGCCGAGGCCCCCCCCCCCGTCGGACAGGCGACCGCCTTTCGCCCGCCGTGCGCCGTCGGCGCGGCGGCCTGCTCCGAGCTGGAGGCCAAGCTGACCGCCTGGCAGAGCTCGGCGCAGCAGGGGTCTGCAGAGGCGGGCTGCCCTCCCCCTCCGGGGATCCCCTCGTCGCCGGGCTTGTCTCCCTCTCCTCCATCCCACTTTCCCATCAATAACTCCCCTGTCGCACGCCGAAACGGGTCAGACGGTCGAGCCGGGCGATTCGCCTGAGATGTCCTCACTATTCGTAAGCTTAACATTTGCAACCGTTTCACGGATGGATGGCTGGTTGTTTTCAACCCCAGGAATGGTGATTCGGCACGATGTCTACAATTTTCATTTCTTGGCCATGCGCGGAGCCTTCATGGAGCCTCTTGGGCCACCATGGCGCCCGCTTGGGGCTGTGGGGCGTCTGCTCCTCAGGACTTCTTCGGCCGCATGGGGCCCTCACAGGGCCCCAAGCAGACGGCCCCATGACCTCCCAGAAGTGCCCCCGCGAGTCCCCCAGGAACCCGAAGATGGCCAGGAGAGGCCGCATGCGAGCCCAAGACTGGCCCAGCACAGCCGCAACCGCGCGGCAGCGATTGGGCACCGCGCACCAGCAGTAAGCACTGGTACCGACCGATGGGTACGTCGAGCAGGCAGCACCAGCGATCGCTAGCGGCACGCTTGCATCAGGAAGGCTCAGGCAGCGACATTTCATGGGCCTGTTTTCCACCACCACCACCACCACCATAAGTTGGAGAGGGGACGGAGGTGGAGGAGGAGGAGGAGGAGGAGGAGGAGGAGGAGGAGGAGGACCGCCTCCCCCTCCTACTTATGGTGGTGGTGGAAAACAAGCCCACCAACAACAGTCCGCCGCCCCATCGAGCAACAGCCCGCGGCAACGGCCAGCAGCGGCAGCGCGCAGCGACGGCGTGCGGCAGTACGCAGCAGCAGTCAAGCAGCATCGACCAGGACCAGGGACCGGCACGCAGCAGCACTGAGCCGCAGGAAGTGGCAGCATGCACCAACAAATCTCAGCCAGTCGCAGTGCAGAGCAGCAAGCAGCATCGCAGGACAGCGTTTTCCTTTCTTTGCGCAGGCCAAAGATTCGCGCGTCGGTTCGCCTGTGGCAGGTGGGCCTTCGCCTGTCTCTGGGGTTTGCTTGATGCACGTGATTGGCATTTCCGCTTGCACTGATTAGTGGCTGTTTGCGGTGGAGTAAAAGAAGAGCAAACAGCAGAGAGCCGCATCACAGGGCAAGTGGCGGCAAGTAGAGACTAGCGGACGAACAAGCGACGACGCAACCAACATGCAGAGCAGACGATGAGGTCACAAGCTGTCCGCTTGTCGGGCTGGCAACCTCGCACGCCAGGGGGGTGGGGAACAGTTCAGGAAGCAGGCCATCCTCACTTCCATGGTGGTCGTTTTTTATTCCTTGTTTTGCCGATCGGCGCGCCCCCCCCCCCCCCCTTCCCCCCCCTTGAGTAAATCTTGGCTGTTTTTGGGCGCCTTTTTCGAGCAGGTGGGGCCCCTCCCCCACAGGACGCACGGTTCCACACAGCCGCATGAAGCAGGGGTCCGGAGCCAGAATCCCCCCCTTCCCCCCTTTTCCGCCCAATGTCGAAACGCCGAATAAAGAAACCCTCACATGCGGTGAGTGAGTTGTCGTGGCCACAGAGGAGTCCGACCAGATCAGGCCGCATGCCGAGGATTCGATTCAAGGGTCCACCCCAGCCTTCTCTCCTGCAACTCAGTGCCTCCTGCGTGGCAGGCTGGCCTGTGCCTGGCTCTGTTTTGTTCCAGGCCCCTGTGGGCCCCCAGGGCAAAAACGGCAACTGCCTGGGGGGTCCAGCACGGCCCAACAGAAACTCCAGGACGGTACGAGATAGCCCGAGACGCCGCTACACTGCCCGAGAGGAGAGGTTGCCGATCTGGCCTTCAGACGGCCCAAGGCTGCAAGACGGCCCAAAAGGCCTCCAGGAGCCCCTCCAAGAGCGACCCCAAAGGCCACAATCATGATTGTTTACCCACAGTTGTTCCAAGGATTTTGACGTTCTCGCCTTTTAGGGCCATTGACGCTCCAAGACGGCCCCAAGACAGTCCAAGAGGCCTCCACGACAGACCAATGGGGGCCCCAAGACAGTCCAAGAGGCCTCCACGACGGTCCATGACGGCCCCAAGAAGAACACGCGAGGGCTCAAAGGATGGGAGCTCGACCTGTCATTTCGCACCCTCTGCCCCAGGATGAGCCCCGAGACCACGAGCAAGCCCCCAATCGGCCCCGCAAACTCCAGGAGGCCCCCGAGAGGCTCAAACCTGGCCCAAAGAGGCTCCCAAGACGCCCCCCGAGAGGCCCCAAGACACACCCAAAACCGCCTCCGACATGCCTGCGAGGGGATATCCCTCAGAGAGCTGTTGGACCGCGCCGGCCAACCAGAAGCCCCATGAGCGACCCAAGAAGAGACTGACCAGTTGTTTGGCTACACGCGCGCCGAGACCATTGAGACTTTCCTCAGCTGGCCTCATATTATGCCTCCCTTCTCACTCCTCGATCCATGCTTCTCGCTCCTCGCCGCTCTCTCGCGCTCCTCGCTTGTTGCTTCTCGCTTCTCTCTCTCTCTCTCTCTCTCTCTCTCTCTCCTCGCGCGTGGTTGCTCTCTTCTCACTTCCCCTCGCTCCTCCCACCTTTCTCCTGGCCCCTTTGCTTCTCCCTGTTGGCTTCTGACGTCTGCCTCCTCTTCGGCTCTCCCTCATCCCTCCTCGCCTCTCTCTCTCTCTCTCTTTCTCTCTCTTCGACCGTCGCTTTATCTGTTCTCGATCCCTGCTTCTCTCTGATCGCCCCTCGCTTCCCCAACCTCCCCCCCTCGACCCTGACTCCTTGCTCCTCGCTCCTCGGTCCGCTCACGAGCTGCAGGTTGCATCAGCTAGCAATGGTACTGAGAACCAGTATTCTGCAGCCCTAGTCAGCAACAGCGAAAAGCAACAGTCCGCAGCAAGCAGCGGCAGCACACAGCAAAAGCAAGCAGCAGCAACGACATGCCGTAGGCAGCCGCACCCGGCAGCTGCAGGCAGCAACAGCAGCAGAAGCAAAGCTCGGGCCCAACGTCATCACGAAAGCCTTCTGGCAACATCTCTGCCTTGGCCCAACGTGCCATCTCGGACAGATTTTGTGGCCAGGAGGCCACGGGTCAGCACTGGTCATCTGTATTAGAATTCTGGACGTTGCGCGTGCAAAAGGGCAAACAGTGAAAAGCTGCTCCCGAGCGCCTGAAGCGCCCCGGCGCTCTCCGATGGCTCCAGAGAGCCCCCAGGTGTCCCCAAGACGGCCTCTGACTGCCCCAAGACAGCTCTGAGACGCTCCGGGTCGCGCGAGGACGGCCCAAAAGAACCCGAGCGGAGCCCCATTACAGCTCAAGATGGCCCGATGACGGGCCAGGTGCCTCCGAAAGTGGCCGAACCAGATCCCGATGACGGCTCCCCGATGCCAAAATCATATATTTCTTTTGGGTTTTCAAAAGTTTTCCCCGGTCTAGCAATTTCGGGCCAAGAACGGCCCCAGACGGCTCCATGGTCATCGCAGGTCGCCCCCCAAGACAATCCAGGAGGCCCCGCCAAGTGTCCCAAGACGGCCCGAAAACTGCCCAAAGGAAACCCAAGACAGCCTCAAGGAGCCCACGGTGGCCCCCAAGAAAGCCCCAAGAGGGTCCCAGGAGCTGCCCACCAGGCCCCCAAACCGGGCTCCAAGACGGGCCGAGGCCCCTTGACAACCCCCAGTACTGCCCTGGGCGGCCCAAGAGGCCTCCAAGACGGCCCAAGAGAGCCGCAAAATGACCGAGAGGGCCCTCAGGGGCTCCGGAGAGACCCCCAGGAGGCCTCGAAGAGGGTTCGAAGAAAGTTAAGACGGCAGGAATCCCACAACCCCCAAGAGGCCCCCAAGACGGCCCATGAGGGCCACAAAATTGCAGCAGAGGGCCGGCCCGAGAGGGCCGCAACATGGCCGAAGAGGGCCCTCAGAAACTCCTTGGAGAGACCACATGGAGACCTCGAAGAGGGTCCGAAGAGAGTCCAGACGACGGGCTGCCCGCAGCCCCCAGTGGGCCGATTCCCTTCCAAGGACTACTCCGATATGCACCAGAATCTCCCAAGAGACTCCGAAACATGGCATGGCACCCCGTCGCCGTTTCTGGAAACCCAGAAGCCCCAAAGAAAGCACCATATACCTCCGATAGTTCCGATGGAGCTCCCAAGAGAGCCTCCCGCTTCCCTCTTCTCGCCTCTTGTGGCTCCATGGTAGCCTTGACCAAAGCCCCTGACCCAAACGTGGCCCGACAAAGCTCGTCTCCCAGTTGTCCGCTCTTCTCTTCTCTTCTCCTTCTTTCCTCCTCCTTCTCCTCCTCCTCCCCCTCCTCGTCTTCTCCCTCCTCGACGCTCTGGCCGCTTTGAGGACACGTTGCTGCTTCTGGGGCCTCTCCGCTCCTCCCTCCGTTCTCCCCACTCCTCCCTTACGTAACCGCCTTTCTTCCGAGTTCTGGCAGCGCGGGGGCCGCCACACAGCTGGTTTGGGATGACGAAGTGAACATGCAGACATCTGGTGCCGCTCCGCTCCTCTCACGGTTCTGCTGGCTTCGGCCTGCTACCCATGGAGCCATGGATGTTCTTGCCTGAGGGCCTCGAAGAGGGCCCGAAGACCGCCCTCGCTCCAGAGCGGCCCTCTTCCTCCTCAGCTTCCTGTTCGCTCTCTTGCGCCTCGCTCCCTCTACCTCCTGTTGCCTCCTCCTCCTCCTCCTCCTCCTCCTCCTCTCCTCCTCCTCCTCCTCCTCCTCCTCCTCCTCCTCCTCCTCCTCCTCCTCCTCCTCCTCCTCCTCCTCCTCCTCTGCCCCTGCACACCCAAGCACTTCTCGCGCACCACCCCCCGCTGAATAGGGGTAAGAGCGGGGACGTGATCCTATCTTCTCTGCCTCGGCTTCCTCCTCTGGGAGCCTGCATCCCCGCCCTCTCAGGAAGCGCGCTCCTCCTCCTCCTCCTCCTCCTCCTCCTCCTTCTCCTCCTCCTCCGTCTCCTTCTCCTTCTCCTTCCCCTGCAAGAGGAGACTACGGGCTTCCCGCAGCCGTCGATGCCACGAGACCCCTCCAGTGACCACTCCGAGATAGCCCAGGCACTCCTAAGACACTCGCAGACAGCCTTCAGCTCCAGGGCCTGGAGCCTGCAGCAAGCCCCGGAGCCTGTCGGTCGAGAACGCGCACGTGTTGCCTGCGACAGGTGAAACTCAGTTGCAGATGTTCCTTTGGTTCAGACTCAGACTCAGCGCGTGTGAGAAGGGTGAACAGTGGCAGCAGGCGCCGCTGCTGCTGCTGAGCGAGATGTGCGATGCGTGTGCGAGAGGGGGCCTGGGGCTGAGCGATCTTTTGTTTGACCCCCCCCGACGGCCCGACGAGCTCGAATAACGATTCGAGGGATACACACGAGTCTCTAGCTTACATGAGAATTAGGTTCAAGTCGGCCCTGTTCCTCTACAGGGGGAGTAGTCAAACATAGTCACCCCAAAAACAGTATGGGGGCGATTATGTTCGCATTGTTTTGGCTGTGTTTGAGTATGCCTTTGAGTATTTGTTTCTTCATCCAAAATCCACCTGTAGGAGGACATGCTCGACCCAAACATAGGTCCCCAACATAATGTTCTCAAACAAAAACACATGGGATCCTCGCGTGTGAGACCGCGCGGCCGCAGCTCGGCCAGGGGCGGCTCTCGGCGCTTCCCGGGGTGCCTCATGCACGGTCCCCCGGGGCGCTCCCGGGGGGGCCCTATGGACGGCTCTGGACGGTCGCTGGAAGGTCGGGGGCGGCCAAGAGGGGGGGGGTGACCAGGGTGGTGGTGGATCTCATGGCGTGGGCCATGATATCTTCCCTGATTTCATGGCGCCTCTTCCTATTTCACTACGTCCCCAGCCCCCCCCCCCCCCTCGGCCGCGCCCATGCCGCGGGCCATGGTTGCGCACCCCCCCCCCCCCTCTTGGACGCCCCCCTCTCAGCCGCCTCCAATAGGAAGGCTCCAGGACGTCCAGCGATGTCTCAGAGACGCTCGAGAGAGCGTTTGGACGGTCCTGGGGAATTTCGAAGCGACCATCATGGCCCAAGAGACGGCCCAAGAGGATCCCGATGACGGCCCTACGAGGCCCAAATCGCAGATCTTCTGCAGTTTTGGACGGATTGTCTGGTTCTCCCCATTTCGACCAAATAACGGACGGGTTTAGACTGCTCCAAGCACCTCCTGGATCGCCCCATCACTGACTATCAGGCTCCCAAAAGAGGCCCCGGCCCGAAGATCGCTCGAAGACCAAAGAGTCCCCACATAGCCCTATTGAGAGCCCCGGGGATGCCCCGGGAAGGCTCCAAGGCGATTCCAAAAGAAGCTCCATGGGCTGTCCTCCAAGGGACACAGCCCGGGAACTGCCCCAGAGGCGTCCAAAATATTGCAAGAGGCCTTCAAGAGGTCCCATACAGGCTCGCAGGAGGACCCACGATGCCCCCGACCCGGCCCAAGAGGCACCCTAAATATCCCAAGGGTGGTCCCTGAGGCCCCAAGCAGGCCCCCAGAAGGCCTCGAACGTCGGGGAGGCACATGCAGGGCCACGTGCGGAGCGTGCGCCGCCGCAAGAACGCCATGGCGGAGCACTGGTGCCTGGTTTCTGGTGGAGACCCGGGGCGCCACGCTCGGCCCGACGGGGCGGCTCGGGAACGGCCCCGCCCTCCCCGAGCAGGCCAGCGTTCTCCCGTGGCGGCCTCCCCGCCTCATCGCAAGGTGCACGCACACACAGCTGGAGGCGGGCCTCCCGAGCGGGGAGGCCGTCACGGGAGCGCCCGTCACACAGGGGTTCGGTTGGGCCGCGCCCGAGGCAGAGGGAGCGCATCCCCGTGCCTGCCGGAGCACCCGCTCCCTCCTCCTGTCCTCCTCGTGCCGGTCCCCCTCTCTGCTGCCTGCCCCGTCTCGCGCCACCTGAGAACGAGGCTCTTGGCCCTCTTCACCGAGCAGCGGGCAGGGGTGCGCAGATTCGGGTCGCGCAGATTCGGCGGCGACCTCCGCGCCGGCATCGAGGGCTCCACGCCGACACTGGTACAGAATCGGCCGACGCAAACGATCTCGTGATGTCGAAGCTGCCGATCGTGCAGGGTTGAACGTTCCACGCGGTGTCAAGAGCAGCAGCGCAGCTCGTCGCGACGGGAACTCACCGGATTCCCGCCTCCACGTCACTGCAGCGGCACGCTCAGGCGCTCCGAGGTCCTCCACCTGCTCTCTTGTCACCCCCCCCGTCTTCTCCACGAGCTCCACGAGCTGTTCGGCTTCGACGCCGAGAGCAAACCTAAGTCTTGCGAGTCCCGAGTTCAGCAAATCGTGGTTTTGATCCACAGGTTTGCACTAGTCAGCTACAACGCTGGAGCCAGCGCCTGCGAGAGATGCGAGCAGTGATTACAGAAATGACGGCCACGAGATCCTCTGGAAATCCTGAAATGCATCCTGAGCAAATCCCAGCATGACATCATTGTCGTCCTATCAGCATCTCGACCTGGACGCAACCATCCATTCGATCGCCGCTCTGATGTACAGGAACGGTTCCTGCAGGCCAGCCGCACCAAATCGGCCACTGAGATAAGCAACTCAATCGCCATGCTTCGGGTGCGGCGCCAGCGACGCAGGCGCCGCGGTTGTCTCCTCGAAGCCCCGCCGAGGCGTCAAGAACCACCAAGCAACACAGAACATACACATCCTCGGGTCTCAACCTCTTGAGTTCCCAAAGAGATAACACACGAATGCTCGAGCCAGTTTCCGGGCCTCCAAACCGTTCGACGTCAGTTGAAGAGAACGGAGAGGAAGCGAGAAGGAGAGAGAAGGAGGAGGAGAGAGGGGAGGGGTGGACAGGGGGGGAGCGAGAACTGCTGCATGCGTCTTCGGCCACGCGAAGAGGGGGGCCGGGGAAAGGGGGAAGTCCTCTTAACAGCACCCCTTCTTCTTAGGAGGCGCGGGCCTTATCCATAGATGTCGCCGCGCCGTTTGTTCCGACGCGCGGCCTTCCGTCTCGGGGAGGGCGCCTCGGTCACCAGGGCAAGCGCAGCCTCAGACGCAGGGCCTGCCGCGGGGTTTGCCGCAGAGCGGGCTTCGTCTACTGGGGCGCGGGGTACACGGCTTGCCGTGGCTTTGCCGTGGGCTTGCCGTGGGTCGAGGGCAAGCGGCGCGGCGACAGATGAAGGCCACCACCTCCTAAGAAGCAGCCTCCTCCTGAGAAGGCTTGCCCATTCCCCCTACCCTCTTATGCGCGCCGCCGACGGATGGGGAGCGAGCGTGGAGGGAACGGAGAGGAAGCGATATGAGGAGTGAGAAGGGCGAGGAGAAACAGAGGGGAAGCCTCTTAGAGGCACCTGAGAAGCCTTCCCCTTCTCCCTGTGCTCCCCTGTGCGCGCCACCCACGTCCGGATCTGGCCCCGCCGGCGGCGGCGCTGCGGAAACCAGCTGCGCATGCCGCTGGTTCGCGAAGCCCCCATCCCCCCCCCTTTGCTATATCCCCCTTGTCGCCCGCCCCGATCTTCGGAGGAGGAAGAAGTACCGACACGACTACACTTCCCTAGGTTTCTCCTTTTCGGCCTCTTGGGAGGCCCTCGGTGCCACCTCTGGATTCGCCTCGACATTCTGGTCGGATGGCACACCTGGAGAGGTCCGGGGAGTAGCGGTATCAGTACCTTTCGGTTTCCCCAGATCTTCTTCCCAGAGCACCGTGCCAACGATTCAAATCATGGCAGTAGGAGCCCCATAAGTGCAAGCACTGTTTAGAGAATGTGGGACGTGGCCTAGTTCCGTTAATGTGACAAAAGTCACAACCTTTGTTTAGCAGTTCCACTTGAATCGTACATGCTCACATTTTCCGCATGTGCGCGTTCTAGAGGACTAGATGCGTGTTCCCATTTCGCGTGTAAGTGTGCATTGGGAGCGCTCCTGGCAATGTTTACGTCACGGCCATCCCCAGACATTCATATTCCAATTCCACATCCCCTCATGAAAAGGCAACCTCGTTGCCATCCCTACTCTCCTTCTTCTCCACCTCGTATCTTTCTCGTCCTTTCCGTTTCGACACTGGCATCACCTCCAGTCGCGCGCGTTTATGTCGTCGTCATTTTTCTCTCTCCTTCACCTCCTTTACCTCCTTTACCTCCTTTACCTTCTCCTCCTCCTCCTCCTCCTCCTCCTCCTCCTCCTCTCTTCGTACACCTACTCCGAAAGAGTTGTCTCGTTGCTTGCCTATAGTTGGTTTGCATGTGGGTATATTACGGACTGTAGCGCTCTGCTGATGGGCATCCTGGGCCCAGGGCGACTGAGGGAGCGACAGTCGTGCTGCGCTTAGGTGCCGCCCGTTGTGGGCGCGCGTGGAGCCGCTCCAGCTTCGGGTTCGGGCTTCGGGCGGGGCCCATCCCTCCCCCTTCCCCCCCCCACTCCCGCTCATCCCGTGCCTCCCCTCTCCCTTCCCCCCTTCCTCCTCCCTCGCTGGAGGCCAGTGGCCCTCTCCCCCCCTTCCCCCCCCGTCCCTCCCACCCCCCTTCCTCCTCCCCTCCTCCCACCCACTTCCGCTCATCCCTTGCCTCCTCCCCCCCCCCCCCCTCGCTGGAGGCCAGTGGCCCTGGCTCTGCCGCGGCGCTGGGGCTGCTGCTGCTGCCGTGCCTCTGCCTTTTCCAGCTCGTGGCCGCGGGCAGCTACCTCCACAGGCTCAGGGCAGAGGGCCCCGACCCCCCAAGCCCCGCCCCGCGGCTCCTCCTGCTCCCCCTCCTGCTCCTTCTCCTCCTCTCCCTCCTCCTCCTCCTCCTCCTCCTCCTCCTCCTCCTTCTGCTCCTCCTGCTCCTCCTCCTCCTCCTCTTCATCCTCCTCCTCCTTCTCCTCCTTCTCCTCCTCCCTCCTCCTTTTGCCCTCCTCCTCCTCTTCCTCTCCTCCTCCTCCTTCCTCCTCCTGCTCCTCCTCCTCCTCCTCCTCCCCTCCTCCTCCTCCTCCTCCTCCTTCTTCTCATCCTCCTCCTTCTCCTCCGCCTCCCCCTCCCTCTCCTCCTCCTCCTGCTCCTCCTCCTCCTCCTCTTCCTCCTCCTCCTCCTGCTCCTCCGCCTCCTTCTCCTCCTCCTCCTCCTCCTCCTCCTCCTCCTCCTCCTCCTCCTCCTCCTCATCCTCCTCCTCCTCCTCCTCCTCCTCCTCCTCCTCCTCCTCCTCTCCTCCTCCTCCTCCTCCTCCTCCTCCTCCTCCTCCTCCTCCTCCTCCTCCTCCTCCTCGTTCTCCAAACTCCCGTCTCGCCGCCTCCGCCACTTCATCCTCCGCCACGCCCACTCCGATTACAGATGCGGCCGTGGTTTCGACCATCAGAGATTGCATCTGCGGCTACGACTTTCTTTAGTAGTAGTCGTAGTTGTCGTGATACCATCTCTATACGAGGACCTCTACAGCAAATGCTATTACTACTACGGCCGCCACGGGAACTACTCCCAATCGAAATTGCACTGCCAATGGTAACTCGGGTATCCTTGCCGCTAGTGCAGCTACTGCGACATGCCCCTCTTGTTAGTGTTAACATGTGCCCTATAGTGCTGATCATGTACCTTGTACATCCACCAGAACTTCAGCAGATGACTACAGCTACCCCTCCAGCATTGCGGCAGCAGTGTGCATTTCTTATGTCGTTTTGGTTGCATTGAAGTAGCGTTCAACTATGCACCGTATGGGTTGCCATATAAGTAGGATTACAATTCGGTGTTCTAGTTCGGCTCCCACTCCTGTTTCTACTGATGCTCTCACCTTGTTATAATTGTTCCTCACAAGCATGAGCTCCCACTCCCTCGGATTCGCCGCACTCGGGCTCCTAAGTGGGCACTTTCGTCCTGCACAATGTTGTGCAAGGTCGACCTTCTTCTTTTCAACATAACGCTCTGTCGCTGTTCATGCAGAGTGCGTGGCTGAAGTGAGACGCGGTGGACATCGCGCTACAAAGGGCCAAGTGATGATCTTGATTCAGAGCCGCGCCCACTTCCACTTCAGATGCACTTCCAGCGCAGGCGCGGCGCGGCGCACTTCCTTCCCTCCAGCTCGTCGGAGTCGGGGTTGCGCCTGAGAAGTCGGAAGCGTGACCGCGCGCGCGAGAGCGCCTCCATCCGCCAGGAGGGAGCACACGCAAGTTCCAAATTCCATCCCCGCAATTACTCGCCCGGAACCGACACGCCTCGCCACCGCACCCCCCCACCGTGCCTGACATGCCGACCCCGCCAATCGGACGGGGCTAGGACGAGGATAAATCCGTTCCAGAGCGCTCAGGAACGCTCTCAGAGCGTTCCGGAACACTCTGAGAAGGCCGCGGCGCCCGAGACATCTTCCAGGGCCGTTAGATCTCAGAGATTCCCGACTTATCCTGACCCGAGTCTATTTTCGTCCTGGTTTCTTCTTCACTTCCTCGTCTGGAACCGACCCACGCCGCCTACCACACCCCCTGCCGCGTCAAGGGCTCCAGCGCATTTCTCTTTGTAGCCTGGGCCCGTGAACTTTCTCTCTCGATCTGTCTGGCTTGGTTTGTGCTCCTGTTGGTAACGTCATTCGTATTCCTACTTCTTGGCGTCGCTCGGACGTGTGCCTGATTCTCGGCGGGGACCATCGAGGAGCACCCTGGACCATCCTGCGGCAACAAAGACACGCACGAACATGAAACAAAAAACATGTGGAATGAGCATCCGAGCGATTGCAGGACTTGGGCACCGTGTTCGATTGAAGCATGCGAGACTTTCTTTCTCTTTCAGCTCCCCTCTTTCTGTACTGACCGTGCTTCTATGTTTCTGACTGTGTTGGTGCTGGTGTTTGTGTTTCTGCTCATGTCTATGATACTAGTCATGCTGCTGCTTCCGCGTCTGCTTCGCTTTCTTTCACGACTGCTTGCGTTTGTGCTGATGCTGGCATTGCTGCTGCTACTGGCACTACATAGGCATAGCCGCGTCCTGCTGTGACCAGCACCGCTACTGCTGCTGCCGATGCTGCTGCTGACGATACGAATGCTACTGCTTCTGCTTCTCCTCGTCCCGGCCGCACGCCCTCGCCCTCTTCGAGAAGGTGTGGCGCAGGTCGCGTGCTTTCCCTAACC